TTCATAAATAAAAAAGTGCTCTGCAAACAACATAGAAATGGGTCATTCAAACCATTTTGGTGTGTACTTTTTGAGATGCTTTATTTGGCTGATCATCTTACTCCATTTTTTTTTTACCATGTAAATATTCAACTGCAATTCATCTTGAACCCAGAAGCAGAATTTTGTGGATGTTTTCAAAATGGGATTTTTTAAAAGTCATGAAGAATCAGTCAAAACTGAAAGAATTGGACATTTTCCAGCAACAACAGAATCTGGACAGAAAAACCCTGACCAGTTTTATCAATGGCATTTTCGAGTAATAAATTTTCAGATGTGGCTATTTTTTAAAAAATTTTCATGCACCTGGCTAGGCACAGATGGATGGAGTTAAGCACAGGCAGTCTTGGGGGTTCTCCACACAGGCTAGAGAGGGGTCGAGGTGCTGTCTGCAAGAGCCTGGTGCAGCCTTCTACTTCCCCAAGACTGTTCCTACAGGCCCAGCTTTGTCCACTTCCCTTGGCCTTTGAGGAGAGACATCTTGGGCCTCTGTGACACCCATGAATGGACCAGGAATTCCAAAGGTACTGTTTGCAGGAATAGTCCACCATCTGTGTAGTCCCTGCAAGAGTTTTCAAAAGGAGGAGGGACTCCATTTTGCTGGGACTGCCAGCCAAAACTTCTTGACTAGGGCCAAATGTGCAAGAAGGATGCCATGATCAAAGACTATCTCATGGTTCTTGACCTTAGTGAGCCTTAACTTTCAGGTATGTCCCTCAGGCCATATGCTTGGCCACTGAAGAAGAGCTGCCCAGAAGCCTGCACCACGGGCAGCAGATTCTGCATGCAGAAGGGATGCTTTCAACTGCTCTTCCTGTCCAGACTGGGAGGCTCATGGTCAATGCATGCTGGAAATTTCTTTCCCAGAAGTCACATCTGGAGCCATAGTATTAAATAAAGAATCATCTTCATCAGCCTAGACATATGAGTCAGCTAAAAAAATGGAAACCATGAGGACTGCATGCTCTCTAAGGTCTCCTGGTCACTGTTGCTGCCAGCAGCCCTGTTTGTGAGGAATCAGGAACCAGGGACACCAGAATGTCTTGACAGCTTGGGAGGTGACAGAGGTGCTCATCCTCATGAGGGATTCTTTTCTGTCACTTCTCCCAGTGCTGATACACTAGTAACTAAAGAAGAAAAGCCCAAGCTGTCCTAGACACAGACAGTTATCTACTGCCTTCCCTGGAAAGCTCTTCTCCCCACTCACACTAAGCTGACTGAAGATGAGCTGTGTGGTGGCTGTCATGGCATCAAAGCTTCTTTGACACTTTTATGTTTTGCTTTTTCACTTCTCACCTATTTCTTTCTCTGGGTTTTTATTTACTTTCACCATTTTTCACATTATTTTAAGTCTTTCCTTAATGGCATGCAGTTTCAGTCACAATGAAGTTCCAGACTTGGCTGACCTCTTGCAGATGTGCACCTGAGAGTTTTAGCTCCTTTCAGACAAAGCACCCCTTTTCGACATCTGCTTCATTCCGCAGCACTCCCAAGCCCCATCAGTGTGCTCACAACATGTGTGAAATCTCAGATCCCAGACAAATGGGCAGCACATTGCAAGCTAAACTGGATACCCTTGAAGACCCTGTGAATAAGTCCATGACTCTGCCAGTCAGGACTGAGAAGCCATCTTCTGTTTTGGATGCCTTGTTCAAATCCCAGTGAAATCTCTTAAAGGTTTCTCCAAAGTCATGCTTCCCTAGGGCTGTCCTTCTGAGTCCACATCACCCAGCTGCCTCAGGTTTGTGCTCTTTGATTGCCAGCGGAGCATCTTCTTCACTCCACTTCCCAGCACCAGCTTCCTCTGCTTCACCACGGGGAAGGTCAACAGGCCTCATGTCTGATGGTAACACCTTGGGCTGGGCTTTCCTTGGAGCTGGCTGGGCTCCCTAGTATTGTAATGATGTTACCGGTACGTCTACCTTTCCTATGCTCCAAGATGAATGTCCAAATATGAGAAAAGAGAATGAATTTTTCAAAGATATTTGCCTGACCAGGGGGTCAGATTTACAGTTTCAAAAGTGACTTGGTTACTGAGAAACTTAAGTGTAGGACTAGGGAGTTCAGTGGAACCTCTTGCAGAGTCATACCCTTAAGCTCTCCCTACCCCAGATGCTGTGCAGCACAGAAAACAGGTTTGGTCATGGGCAATGAGGGTGCACCAGCTTTTATGCTTAGTGCAGACCTACCAAAACTGCAGTGAAAGCCAGCAAGAAATCAGGTGCCAAGCCACATCAGTCACACAGGGCCTTCCAAAGCTTTCTTCTCCGAGAAGGACAGCAGGTGAGATGTCTCCTGGACATGGGGCACCTTATCTTGGAGAATGGGGAACTGCCTTCTCTAAGGGAAAGATGAACAGGTTTGGAGCTGTTGAGGAGGATGACAGTAGATGGGATGGAGAGATTATGCAGCCTTTTATTATCTGTATCTTCTCCTTGGATCATGCTGGATGCAGAGGTGCACCTGTAAGTCCCGTGTAAGCATCCAGTATCCAGCACTGAGGCTCATACTACCTCTGGAGTACCAGCAGGTTGTCCCATGGGCAGATGGCCTCCTTCAGGAGCCTGTGGCAGTGCTCTGTCAGTGTGTCAGCCCTTTGCCCTGGGAGTTTTAATGCAGGTCTCCAGGCAGGGTTTAGACATCTGTGCACTGGGGGAATGGCACCAGCCATGTCCATCACCACAGCTGGGAGACCTTTACACCAGGCCTTTTGCCCAGCCACCTGGTGCCTCCTCAAGTCCTTCCCCAGACCTCAGCTGATTTCACTTCTCCCATTTGGAGAGGAGCCCTCCAGCTTGGAGAAGTGTGTCTCCTTGTGGGCTGGTGTGGCTGCTGAGAGCCCCTGCTGCTCTCTCCTGTGATCCCCACCTGCTGGCTCAGATCAGTGTATGTCCATGATGAAGGAGAACTATTAAAAATCAATGTTTTCTGGTCATAATGAATAGGGAAGACTTCTCTAATTTCTACCTCTTCCCCCAAGGGAACTAAATAGTTGCTGACAAAAACTGTCTGTGTTCCATTAAGCAAGTAGAGAGAAGCAGGAATTAATCTCTCTTCTTGACTATTTTTATTGCTACTGGAATTGCCTATCTGTAACGTGCCATCTAAACATAAATCTGTCAAGAACAACAAATGCTGCCATAGCCCTTGAACAACAGTACAGAACTAATCTGCCAACAACCTTTGGAACTACAAAGCTTTGGTCTTATTAAACATCAAAGCCATCCCTTCTGCATCCCCTTTGCTGTGTCCAAAGACTGGGAGCAGGGGTTAGCATACCTTTGGGAGATATGAAAAGGTCAGATCTGCACTGCCCATGCACTGTGCCGAAGGTGCTCTGGCGCTTGCTGTCCTTTATAGTGGACTGTAAGGGAGCCAAAGCATTGAACTCTGGTCCACATCCTTTTCGGTGAGTTGTTTTTCAGTCCCTTATTGTTGACCAGCTGAGGTCTGCTGAACACTGAGGAATAGTGAGATCTTGTGGGGTGGCATCTGAGAGCAAGGAAGGTCTGGCAAGCATGAGGTGCAGGGCCTACAGCCCCGCTTATCCCGGGAAGTTGTAAATCAGATGTTAAGATGCTAGCTACAATGATAAAACCCTCTTAAGCACAGAGGAGGGAGAGGTTGGTTGGGGAGAGAGGGTGATGTGGGACAGGCAGGTAAGCACTAGGACTTCAAGAAAACTAGGGATAATTTTGAGGGACTGTCCAAAGAAGCCAGAAGAAAAGATGTGAAATGAGGGAGATAAGTGCCTGGGGGAGAAGCATTTGACTACCCACTGCTGAGCTCCCGTCACTTCCCAGGTTCACCTGCAGCTGTGGCAGGTCACAACGCAGAGGTGCAGGTGCTGCTGCACCAGGCATGGTACAGCACTTCCACTGCACCTCTGCCCACATCCCCGTGCTCCCCAAACCTGACTCAGCTGGGAGCTGCTCCAGGGAGCTTACTTATGAGCTGAGGCCTGTGTCTGATGGCCCTTGTCCGCAGGGCACCATCCCTGCCACTGCAGCATCGTGCCCATGAGCTGCCACATCCTGGCCCAACACATAACCTCAGCTGGGATAGCCTGAGAGCCTCGCAGTTGAGCAGCATGTCAGAACTGTTCAGTTCAGCTTTCTTCTCTGTCCCTTTCTCTCTGTTAACACAGAGATTCTGCCCATGCTTTCTCTCTAACCGCAACATAACCCTTTTCCCTGGAACATCCTGTGGGTGCTTCTGGGGTAATAACAGGAAGATGCTTGCCGTACACAACACTCGCTGTCGCCTGATCGGTTGCTCACCGCTCTGTGGCACCTCTTGCCAGTCTTGTCTAGATAGCAGCTCCAAGGAGAGTCTCTGAAAGTAGCATCCAGCCCATCTCAATCTTCCTGCCAGCTGGTGCTTCTAGCAGGTGAGAAGGAAGGAGGCAGGCAGAGGAGGAAAGGAGGGGTTTGGCTGGCTGCTTGAAGACCCAGGCCAAAAATAGAGCTGGAATGCTGATGTTGCAGGTGCCTGGTTAAAGCAAAGTGAAGAGTAAATATGCGCGTAAAAGCCTTTATTTTTTCCATTCATCACAATGCACTTTTTATTTCTGACATTAGCCTCAAGAATGGTGCCAGACATGTTCTGTGATTTCTCCCCTTTTCCCCTCCAGATGTCCAAACGGATTCTTCGGACAGAGGTGTTTGGAGAAACTGCCTTTGCGATTGTACATGCCAGATCCTAAGCAAAGTATGTTTGAAGAAAAAAATACACCACACTACTTAAAACCTCCCGGGCACAGCGGTGAATGTAGAGTGGTCTAGTCAGGAATGGTTCTTGGTGTCAGCTTTGGGCTAGGGCTTAGGGATGCAGGTAAGGGTGAAGGCTGAAAGCAGATGGATAGGAGTTGTGGAAGGGATCAGAAGGGGCCTCAGTTCAGTCTGTTTGGGTGTCATTTTGCTATCTTGTTTCTCTCTTTCTGGTTTTCTTTCTTTCGGTAGGTGTCCAATCGAATTCACGGGAGACCGGTGTCAGCATTTCGCAATGGTCAGCTTCTCCAGTATGTCTCTTTCTACTTCTCTCTCTCCCTGGTTATTGTAGCTCTGTGTTGTGTCCTTAAAGCAGGTTCTTCTGTTCTCCAAGAGCCCTCTTCCTGCCTTGTGCGCTCCCAGCTCTGCTTGGCTGTAAGAGGAGCTGTGATCGTGTCCAAGAGGAGAATTTGGGGTCTTGTTATCTCCCCATTTGATAGAATGGGTTCTGCTTTCATTTCTGATTGAACTTAATGTTGCTTGCTCTTTCCATGCAAAATGCAAATAAGGCACAACGTTATGTGGTGTGCTGTGTGAGAACAGTCTGTGTGACACGCTGTATCTGCTAGCATTACTGTGTCAGGATGGACTATGTTGTGCAGTGCAAGAGATGTACATTTTCCCATGAAGGGGATACGTGTGTCTCTCTGTACCAACTGAGGAAATCACAGCGAGAGCTGTAATGAAATTTCCCCTGAGGTGAGGTGGTATTTCTGTTTCCAGAAGCTAAAGCAAGCATCAGTTGCTGTTCAGGTGAGATGGTTGGAGGCTGGCTCAGGGTCAGACTCTGGGGCAGGCCCAGGGGCTGGACAGGGCACACCTGCACGTCTGCAGCCCCAGGGGTCACACTGGTAGCTGCCACTGTCTCAGGTTCCTCACACCTCACACCATGTAGGATGCAGGCTAAATCTGCTGACTGGGCATCTCAGGCTGTGTCCCTTCTGGACACAGAGATGTTCCTGTCTCTCTGCTGCGGGGTTGGACAGCCTTGCAGGTGGGGTTATGTCTAACTGCAGTGACTGATCCTTTAACCTCCTGTTCAGTGGGTGTCTATACTCCAGAGTCCTCGTACTTAGTGCTTCCCTGTTTCTAGTTTTCAGTTCCTGCAGGCTCTAGGTCTCCACAGATGCATTGCTTATAGACATCATTAGCTCATTTTGTTCAAGGCAGGTAATTTTTCCAGGTCCATACTCAGACAGTGGGGTCCTGGTCTGGGTAAGAACTGACCTGAAAGGGGGTGCAGTTACGCTGCAGGAAATCAGCCACTGTGACCCTCTGTGTGACCTATCCCGGCTCCATGCTGTCCATTTGGACACCCACAAATGGTGGTTTTAAAAAGAGACTTTTTTAAAAGAGCCACAGAAGAGGCTTTAATTAGAGGGAACCAGAGGAGAAATGCCTCTCCAGGATGACTCCTTGATTGCCAGTACCTCCTCTTTCACCACTCTGTAAGAAATCCTGCAGTCCTCATCCTGATCTGGCAGTAGCAGGAGTCTCATTAGCACGTGCTAATAGCTGGCAAGTGCTCCCATTAGACTCTCTTCTACAGAGTATGCAGACAAGATGCAAATAGGCTTTGTGAGGCCCTTGGGACAGCTTGATGTTTTCACATTGCCTTTTGTTCCAAATTGGCTTCAAAAGTTGAAACCTCCATTGATTTATTTTTTCAGACTAAAACATCCAAGTAAGCTCTTCTTAAAATGACAAAACAAAATGTTCTGTTTTGATCTTTAACCTGATGCAAAGGGTTTCCTTTCTGCTTTCAAGTCCATGGTATCAGAGACCCTGGCTGCAGACAGCAGGGGGATGCTCACCCAGTGAAGATGATTTATAACATATTTCGTGAGGTGGTATCCAACAAGCTTAAACATTATTGCTACCATGCTGTAAAACCAAATCAGGGGTGAAAATTAGTTTTATGTCAGGAAAATGCCTTTTCAGAACATTAATGGCAAGAGTAAACAGCATTGTGTTTTTTCCCCAGCCTGGAGAATCCATCTCTTTATGGGAATGAAATTTGTTTAAATGTTATTCATGTGTTAGAGGAACAATAAGAACTTTAAGACCGGCACATGTACATTTACTTACCTCGATTCTGCTTTAACCACAGGATAGTAAGGTAAAAACAGATTAACAATCCAGGTTACCTGTCTGAACTTGGATAAAAATCATCTAAGAAGATGATTCATATGTGTTTATAGCTGTTTTCACTTTCAGGTCACAGCTGGGTAATATATGTAGCAGAAACACTGCAGAAAAGCATGCACTGAACTTGCACTTTCCGAATAGGAGAGGTGTTTCACTTGACTCTGGACTGTGCAAAGGCTTACTTTCTACTTTGATCAATAATTAGGGCACAGTCGAAGTTGTTGTTGCTCTATAATAAACTCAGTGCTTCATCCCATATGGGTTCTGACAGGTCAAAAGCTGAAACAGATTAAATGAGGTTCAGGCATTTCCACTGGAAATAAAATAGCTCTGTCCTGATTCATGTTTTGAGAACATTGCCAGCCTTGACAGGTACTTAAATAGTAAATAATGACATCTACACTGGTGGTGTTTTAAAATTATTTGGAGTATTTTAGGTTTTCAGATTGGAGCCTTCTGATTCTTTAATATTATTAAATATCAGAATTAAATATTACAATATGACTTTTAGTAGGTATGTTCCAGGGCTGAGTGAGAGTCTCTGCAGAGTGAACTAACTGACAAGATATGGCAAATTCTTTGCTGAATTTGGGCCAGAGATGGAGAAGGTGCAGCATCCCAGCATCATCCCAGATGTATGTCTTCCTTCTGGGAGCAGCTTCCTACCTCATCAGTTTAAACTCTTATTCAGATTTTGCTTAGGTAAAACTCCCCATGTACTCTAGGAGTTCAGGCTATCTTTGTCTATGTGACAGGTAGCTCTGGAGCTTTGTCTGAAATACCTGCTAGACAACTGCAATTATGTAGATGAAAATCACGTGAATTTAGATAGATTTTCTCCCACGTGATGTTTCTCTATGTTGCTGTGACAACTATATGACTAAGTGCCTACTGCCAAGCATTCTGGGTATATACAAAGATGGAGGTTTTTTTCTTATATTGCACTCACACTGTTGCTATTTTCTAACAGATTGGTACAGAGGAACTCTCTAGGAATGGTATTATTGGACTAGCTCAGAGGCATCTCTAGCTCGACCCTTGTTTGGATGAATAGCATTTGGTTTTGGTAGGAATTTGCAACAGCAGAATTCAAGCAAGTATGTCAGCGGTTGGTTCCTATCTGCTTGTATGGAGTTTACATTTTATTTTGCTTGCACTGTAATGCAAATGTAATAGGAAATGTGTTGAAATATTGGAGAAAAAGCAAAGCATGGTAAAACTGTTCCTTATCTGAGAAAATGGATACATAGTGCAGACAACATCGCTCTGGCCTAACAGGGTGTCGCTTTGAGCAGAGCTGTGGTGCCTGACTGTATGGGGTCTCTAAGCCTGCCTTTATGTTAAGTCTGCATTAGTCTAAGCCACCCTGATGGCCTGTTTTCTGGCAAGGCTCATACCCTAAGGAGATCGAAGGCAGCACGTTTATTTGGGGCAGCAGTGGCTAGGGATGTGTAGGCAGTTGGCTACCATCAGTCAGCAGACGGACAACAACCTGATAAGCAACAGCAACACAGATGAGGGCCTTTGAGACACTGACACATAGTAATCCCACATCCAGGAAGTATGGGCAGAGTGTCACAGGGAAACTTAAAAGCTTTATCCTGTTTATCATAGGTCAGTTTTAGGAAGTATAATAGATGGCTTTTCCACATTCATCAGAACAGAAAACCTACCAGAAGGATGGAAGGATAGATGTCAGAGCAAACAACTGCACGTTCACTGAGATTAAAATAGTTGGTACTAAAGGTACATAACGGAGAAGAAAAAGATGTCCTGACTTAAGATGTGCTGACTTAAGCCTGGTTAGATCCCTTTTGTCTGTATGAAATTTCAGTGATCTGTTGGTCTCTGTGCAGGCTCCTCCATCCATGCATAAGGAATTGGCTGATGGACCAAGGAACTAACCTGTAAGAGGCTGTACAATATTACTGAGGGGCATTAAATAAACATTTAAAGCAGTTTTAATTTAGACTGAAGGGGAATTATTGGCATTGAACAGAGAGGACAGTGATTGTCTGCAATTACAATATAAACAGAAATGCACTGGTACATGAGAATACAGAGAATTACTTCCACGGGTAAGGAGTCATTAAATCATCTTACTAAAGTGTTTGTCACATCGAGGTCTTCACAGTTCTATGTCTCCATGCAATTATAGTTGCAGATATAATTAATATATATACTGCATTGTACATACTATGATAAAGTCATATTGTCTGCTAGTTTCAGGAGTTAGATCTTGCAGTTATGATGTAACTCCAATGAAACCAGAGGGCTAGGAGATCCTAACTCTAAAATGTGACCTAAATCAGGAATCCTTCCTGATCCTAGTCACAAGGAATGGATGGAATGTGCAGGCAAGGAGTAACCAACCATGCTGTCAATCTGAGTTCATATCATGAACTCATCTTCTGACCCTTGTTCTCCCTGCCCCCTCTTTGGAGCAGTAGTGCAGCAAGACTTCATTACTTTTTCAGTGAGGTTTTAAACATCTGTGTTAGAGGTTTGAATCCAAATTCATACCCCAGGCCCCCTTCCTAGTCACTGCAGAGGGTTTGGCACCCAAGGATGTGTATCTGGCTAATTGAACTCCAGTGCTACCATCAGGATGTGATGCCTCATCTTCCAGAAGTGCAGAGAGTATGGAGTAAAAACTCACAGGTTTAGCTGTCAGATGTCTCTCCTGGAGCCCTGCTACAGATAGCTGCAGAGTCACAGATCACAGCTGTCTTTGGCTGGCTGTCCATGCACTACCGAGAACAGAAGTTTAATACAACAAACTATCTGCAGCCTGAATGAATCCATTGCATGAATACCCAGAACCATTTTGCCTTTGCAGTCAGATCTTCACTTCTGCTGGCACATGTGGGTGAAAAGTTCAGCAATATCACAGAAGAGTCAAGAAGCATACCTAATATGAGACCTTCTGGTTGGTACTGGAGACCCACCCAATTGACAGATGTCTGCTGGGTCCAGCTTCATAGACGCAACTATGGTTAGCAGCTCTTTCCATAACCGAGAAGCATGTCCAGAATCATCCTTCCTTTTATTAAAAAAAAAAAAAAAAAAAAAAGTGCTGGCACCTGTATTTCATAGCTGCGTG